TGTTCCTAGTTAAGCCCGAATGTTTATTACAGTTCTGTTCCCAAGCAGGCTCTGACTTCCATCTACATGTAAATATTTGACTTAATTTGGCTTAATTTAGATTTATTGGTATTTACTTGGTTTATTTTAATAAACAAGGGTGACACTGGAGGAGAATGAAATATTAACAAATTAATTACCAAAGATTTTGAAGGCCTCATCAGGGCTGCGTACAGGGTCTTTGGTCTATGGCGTAGGGTCTAGGCTGCTTGCCTGAAGGCACCCCTTCGAACAACAACTTCTCCTGTTCTACCATATGTATAATGTACAATACTGGTATATGTCAACTTTAATTACATAAAGCACCTTCACTTTTAAAAGAGATTGTTTGAAACTTCTTGAAATCAGTAAAATGTCGATGAAAAATGTTGAACTCAGGAAAAATCCTGACAAATTTCCCTTGCCCCCTGGAAAGAACCAAGTTCCACATTGGTAATGTATTTACTGGTGAACACCGTCTGTGTTAGAAAGACAGACACTTACACAAACAGAACTGTGGAAATTGAATGCAAATAACATAATTTATCCTGACTCTAACTTTTTGCAAGGAACTTCTGAAATTCTCTAAAATCCTCTGAGGACAGAAACTAATGCCCTGCACTTTGCATAAAATCGACATGAACAGCTGCCACCACATTTCAGGTAACAGTTGCATATGTATATCTACATGTGCAAATGTACTGGTACATGTTACACTGTTCCTTCCTCAACCCTACAAATTCTTCTCACTCCTTCTGGTGGATTTTGAAAGATCTAGGACAGTAACTACTGGTGTACAATGTACATGTCCACATACATACATAGTACACAGGTACATGTAACATACATGTATCGGTAAGCCATTCGACAAACCTTGACTTCCTCATCAGAACTAGCTTCACCTTTCACTCCCCAACTGCTCATTAACACCTTTCCCCTATTAAAACCAAATGATAATGCTCCAAAACTTGGGCTTCATGACATAGGATTTGACATTCTTTCAGCGAAAAATTGAGGTTTCCAAAGTCAAAACTGAAGCTTGAAAACTACTGGTTTTAGGGTTAGACTGCCTCATGTAGATGTACATGAATCCAAAGTACTCGTGTAAAGACAAATGTTCACTATTTACGGTATGTGTACACATACATGTACACATCCCTGTAAGTCAACTGAAGACATGAAAGTTTAGTTCTTACAAGTATAGAAAGGGAAAAACCTAGCAAGAATAGAAGAGGTAGGAGAAGGAAACAGTGGCTAGGCACCATCAAAGAGTGGACTTAATGGGAGGAGAATTGGAGGCGTTGAGGTATGCAAGAATGTGCCCACAGCCAGCATTGGCTAGGGCCTAGCGACGATGACGATATGTACGATAAGCCATGAATCTGGAGCGCAAAGCCGAAGTCTTAGTCAAAAACTCAATTTCAGGCTATCATTTTTGGTTGAACAGACAGCCTCAACCATCCATGTTTATGAAAAAGTGCGAAGCTTTGAAATCAAGCACGGTAAACGGTCGTGTGTGTACGGGTGGATAATAAGCCAGGCTGTACGTGTGTTTGCCTCAAATGGAGCAGAAGAATAAGGGATGTGGTATTGGTAGGATGCTCGTCGGTTATTACCGGGGAAAGCGGCCCGCACGTCTGGCAGTCTGGCTGCGCAAACAGGCCACATAGGGAAGGCCGTAATATGACAAAGCCGGGCGGAATTAATGTGCTACCCACGCAGGGTGTTACATTATAAGTGCAGACCTGGCTTCCAATACAAGGCAGCAGAATGTAGGCTGAGGTTTGCAACTCATCAATTACCAGCAGCATGGTAACATACTGCATAATATTTACATGTACCCAACCTGAGCCTTCAGTCGCCCTGAGGACTTCGTTCGGCAACATCTGCAGACATTTTTTCAAATAAACCCACTTGATCACTTTTTTTACATGTAAAATGTATCTTTCATCCGTGAAAGTTGCTTCTATCTTTGAGCAGCACTTAAAGAGACAATTAATATGCGGGATTTTCTTCAATTTGTTGTGTCTCTTGTTTTTGTTCTTGCATGTATTGTACTTTTGGTTTTATTTTTACATGACATTTTGGGTTAATGTGCTCAACACAGAAAATTGTGGATAAGAGACTCAGATACAGGTACAGTACCAGAGTGCGTGTACACCGGTAGAGAGGTTGTCATAGGCTCTAATCCCAACACAGCTTTAGGTTTTTTTCTTTTCTGTTTGAAACCACCAAGAATACAGTCCAAACAACACTGGTGCAAATGTGGAAGGGGGGTGACTGGTCATCTCCCAAACGAGCAGAAAAAAATTTTTCCTCGAAAAATGAGAAAAGTAATTTCAGGATCTTCTATCAAAAAGTGCTTAACAAAAACCTACAAAATGTAGTCTTCAACCCAGAGAAAGGCCATAAAAGGTTATACACAGGTAAAAAAAACCTGACATTTGGACCCCCCAAAAACAAATCTGATTCCTTCCCCCTGAAAATGCGGTTCCAGACCCACCCTTCCACTGGTCATAGACAAACCATTGCATTACCAAATCACATGCTACAAAATTTCGAATGGATATAATTTATTTCGCTTGCTGCTAGGCCGGAAACAAAGAAAAATTATTCCACTACAAAACGGCAGCTAATATGCCACATGATTTCAGACCTGGAACAAAAGTGCACCAAATAAACCAAACCAACAACTTATTGAACACAGAAACAAGATTGATCTGCTTCCTTGACATCAGGATGTCTCTCGAATTCAACTTTTGGAGTGCGCAGCATGACTTGCTTTATTTCATGGCCATGGGGGGACAGATTGATGGCTCTGCAAGTGCTGTGAGCAGCGGAAACTCTAAACTTGTCAGTCAGGAAACAATTAAATTAAAGACTGAATGTTCCTGCACAGCAAAGACAGACTACAGGCTAGGCACACAGTCATTGCTCTGTCATGTGGAAATGCGTGACCTACATGTGCCGGTACTACTTCAGCAAAATTGGACTAAACTTGCAAGGAATAATTAATAAGTGATTCTTTTTAAAGAGGCAAATTTCTATACACTGAAAACTAGGAATTGCTAATTCGAGAAAAAGTATTTTAAGTTCATTGACACATACAGCCAATTTTCTGGGGCTCCTGAGCGCACTTTGACACTCTTGGATGATGGTTTCAAGCAGAGTTGTAATGACTCGAGTCAATGATTCGACTTGAGTCCCACTCGAGTAACAATTTTGGAAACTCGATGGGTAAATGACTCGACTCAAATCTCTCATGGAGATTCGACTTGAATATAAGTTCATCAGACTTGAGTCTCAAAAAAATTAAGGGCAAAAAGTTTTTCAAAAAAAAAAGATTTGAAATTGGACTCACGGCACTGCTCTTATATCGATCATATTTATTGTATTTTGTTCAAAAATTTGTAACTCAAACTGACTCAAG